CGGGGCGCTGCGGGGACTCCGGCCCTGCCCGGCCGAGCGGCCGACCAGTTGCTTGAGAGGATTTCTGAAAAGAGAAGGTCTCGTTGTCTTCACTTTGAGACGCCAAAAAGCTAGTTTTTTGTTTGTTAATTTTTTTTAGAAAGGAATTTTGAGCGTTTGTTTTGTTAAGCGATGTAGTAGGCCGTGCCTTGTAATCCAAGCATAAACCTTAGGAGGTGGGCTTGCAAATTGAGAGGAGAAATAGTAACTATAAGCAAACGCTCCGCGGAGACTTCTGTCTAACGGCAAACTGTCATCCTGTTCTGAATGAAATGTGTGAGCTGGAAATAGAAAAAAATTTAAACACCCACTTTTAGTTTGCAGACGTTTCAGTTGCTATTTCTCCTTCCTTGTTCTGTTAATGAAACTTCCTTCTCTACCTTTCATACCTCCCACAGCTTTTCCTGGTCGGTGCCTACAGAAGCGTGAGGCGTCCTTCTCCTGGGGATTGGAGGGCAGGGGTTACAGGGCCACCTAGAGGCACTGCCGACCCAAGTGCTCGTCCTCCCTTAGGGCAAGTTCCATATACTGGGTTGTCTCCATTATTGAGTCAAGGTCTTTTCCCTAAGTAATTTGCTTGGATTTAGCCACTTACTGCCTTAGCACTGTTATCCACTTGATCTTGCCTGGTGGAGACCATCTACTGCTTCGTGTGGACCAGCGGCCTTCTCAAATCGGGTTTGCTCGTTTTGGTTGGAGTGACAGCTAAATGTTTTTGTTTTTTAAACCAAGATTAAGGTTTTGGAGCTGCCTTAAATGGGGAGCCTGATTAACCTCAGATATGGTAATGCTCCACTCTCAGAACTGAATGCTGACAAGGATAGATTGGTCTTCAGAGACTCCTCCAAAGCCACACCCCTCTGGAAGTCATGCTTTTGCAGAACACAACACTATTGTTCTGTATAATTCCAGCATGCAAATTAGGAACACCTTGGCTGACACATTATATAACTTTGATATATTTAAAACAATAAAAAATCAAAACTATTAGTACCAGTATATGAAAAACTATTATTAAACCAGCAATTTTTTTTTTCCTTTAAATTTTTTGCTGCTTGTTTTAGCAGGCAAGTAGATAATAGGTATCAGAGGATTAAGAAAAACTTAGTTGACACCGTTTGATCTAGTCAAGAATTCTTAACTGTTCTAAACACTTGGGATGGTGAAGGAAGGGTATAGGTGTCTTGAAATTGAAGCAGAGCTCTAAGACAAGCCAGCTCACCACTGTGGCCCCTGGGCTGGAAATAGTCACTTGCTGAAGTGTTACTGGTATGACCCAAGGCCAGACTGATTCCTGGGGGAAAGTGCTGTGTCCTGGCTTCCTCCATCTGCTGGAATGCTTCCAGACTTCACATGGTGTGAAGACTAGGAAGCTGCAAGTCAGCCTCCAGATCTGATCAAGTTCCCTTTCAGAATCTTTCACTGGCTCCCTTGAATGCTTAGACTTCATAGCTTGTATCCCAACACAATTCCCAGGTAGGTGTGCACATGGCTGTCTAAAAGACCAGTTGGACACTCTTGGAGGACGGGAAGTATGCTTTACTTATCCTTCTATCTGGCTCATTGTGGATGTGAAATACATTTTTAAACAAAATCCTGAATAATCAGAGCACCTATTATGTGCCTGGAACTTTATATGCAATCTCATTTAGTTCTCTCAATGGGCATATGAGGTGAGTATTTTACTGAATGAGAAAAACTCTCAGAGAAAGTGACTTGCCTAAGATCCACTGTTATCAGGAGAGACAGGAGTTAAATCTCTATTGATTAGACTCCCAAAGCCTGTGCTTTGTTCACTGTGATTCCATGCTTCAAAAATACAGCAGTCACCAGTGCCAGACTTTATGTAATGTTTCTCAGCTGATAGTTGAGAAAACTGACCTGTCCAGGGTCACACAATTAGTCATTGATGGAGCTAGACTGGACTGTACCCTTCCCATGAGCCAAGTGCCTCTTGTGAATAAATTCTTGCTTGCTTGTTTATACAGGCACGGTTTTCATNAATATAGTCAATCATCCTAAAGATAAGGACACTGAGACCCTCAGCTGATAGTTGAGAAAACTGACCTGTCCAGGGTCACACAATTAGTCATTGATGGAGCTAGACTGGACTGTACCCTTCCCATGAGCCAAGTGCCTCTTGTGAATAAATTCTTGCTTGCTTGTTTATACAGGCACGGTTTTCATGGGCCCATTATGAATGGATAATTTGTTGTTTTCATAAGCAGCATAGACAGGTTGTTTTCCTTCGCAGAATCTTCTGTAGCCTCAGCTAATTTAAAAAATAATGTGGTTAGTAGCATATGAAGTGGCAGGTTGGGAGCATATACTAGAAGATTTAGAAAATATTTCTTTCATCTAGCTATTTCACGTTTAGGAATTTACCCTTGGGAGATCATCAGAGATGTATAAAAATAATAGTGAGTGAGAATGTTCATCTCAGCATTATTATATGTTATATATTATTATGTATAGAGAAACATTGCAAGCAATCTGAATGTCCACCATAGGGATTGGTTAATTAAATATGACGTGTCCTAATCAGCATGAAAAATTGCTAATGATAGGCAGCTAAGAGACAAAAGCATGTTAAAGAACTATAAATATCATGAACTCTTTTTATTTAAAGATTATACACATATATACACATCACATATATACTCTGACTTGTATGATTGTGAGAGATTTCATTTTCTTTTTTTAGATTAAAATATATTTTCCAGATTTTTCAATAGTTTGTTACTTTTATAACAGGAAAAATGTTGAAAGAAACAACAGGGTAATAACTTATCAAATGTCTAAGATCAACTTTTAAGTAGTTAAAATTATTTTAGTGGTAGAAGCAAACCAGCCTAAACTTGTCTGTCAGGTTTAGCTCACCATCTCCTGGAATCCTTGAAGAGAACTATTACACAATTTCTTCAGTTAGAGCAGTGACGTTTTTACATTTGCACCTTGTTAATTGGCATTGCAATGGAACATACTCTAGCTTCAGCTTTAAATTCACATCCTTATATGTGGATTTCAGTAAGTAGTTTCTTAATCAGAACTATTATGCTCTAATGTAGCATCATGTACTCTTAAATTGATAAAATATTTGCTGTTAGAAAAGGGAAATCTTACTTATTGGCAAAAAGATTTAGAAAATATCTTAAATTATTTGGTTTTACATACATAAGATTAACCAAAAACCTTTGAAGCCAATCAGAGTTAAGTGCCACTAGTATGTATGTTTTACTTCTGATTCAGAGGAAAACATGGAACTCATAAAGTCTTTTCTTTGAGGTGTGGAATAATCTCTCACAGAGTGTGTTTAAACTACATAGTTCAGTAGGTCTCTTACCATTAAAGTTTATTAACCATATTAATTAATCCTTACTAATATTAAGATACTGGTAATACAGTAATACCTTACTCTTAGAAAATCATTTTTTAAATTTTAAGTCAAAAGTGTTGGTTTTTTATTGCACAAGGACTTTTTGGACAAAAGAATGTTTTTGCATATGTTTAACAAAAATAATTTATATACATTTCAGAGTTATGCAATGTTATATATGACTGTAGAGAATTTTCTTTTTTATTAGAAAAATAATGAGGTGGTTAAATATGGTTAAGCAAAATGAAGAAACTTGAAATAATCAGTAATTCTACCACTAATAATATTTTCAGCATATTCTCTGTGTGTGTGATTGCACGCACATGTGTATGCCGTGTGCGTATGTAATCATGCTATGTATGCTATTTTGAAACTTACTTTTTATATTAATGAGTATTTTGTAATATAAGTGTCAACTGCGTTATAGTTATTTTTACTTAGGAATGATATATAATGTTTGGTTATTTAATTGACAAACATTGAAACTACATTATTTTAAACCCAACAGGATTATTGTTTGTAATAAACTGGACCCTCATTAAAATACTTTCATTGAGTTTGTGTTGTAAGGCAGTCTTATAAACAGCACCAACCTTGTAACTTTTGGAATAATGAATTATTCCTCGAAAGGATATAAACAAGTCCTACCTAAGGGCAATTTCTACTTTCTAATAATTAGAGTTAATAGAAGCTTCCAATATAATTTTGCTTTTAACAGAAATAAAGTGGCTTGATTTATTAATCTCTTGGGTTGTAACTACAAAATTTGCTTAGTCACATAATTTTCAGTGCATAAAAACAAACAATGAGGATTAAAAGTTTGGTCCTAAAGACCT